AAAAAAAAAAAAAAAGAAAGAAAAGAAAAACAGTATGAAAGCATCAAAAAATTAAAACTAGGATAACAGTACAGTTCAGCAGCCCACTACTAAATATATACCCAAAGGACTTGAAGTCAGCATGTATGTTGGAAAGACATCTCCACTTCCACATTCATTGAAGGATTACTCGCAATAGCCAACTTATGAAATCATCTTGTAAGAAAGTGGTATCTGTACATAATGGACTACTACTCAGCCTTAAAAAGGAAGCAAACTGGCTGAGTGTGTTCACACATGCCTGTAATCCAAGCATTTGGGAGGCTGAGTAGGACTGAGTTTGAAGCCAGTCTGGGCTACAGAGCGACACCCTGTCTCAAAAAAGCAAAACAAAGCATAAAAAAGTTCTACCATTTGTACAAGACGGATGGAACAAGGGATGATTATGTAAAGTCAGGACAGAAAGAGAAATATTTCACAATCTCTTATACAAGGAACCTAAAAGTTGAACTCACAGAAGCAGAAAGTAGAATGGCAGTTTCCCAGGGGCTGGGATAAAAGCAGGGAGATGTTGATAAAGGATCAAAACTGCAGTTAGACAGGAAGAAAAGCTTAAGAGTTCTAATATGTAACACGGTGACTATATTTAACAATATGCTTTGTAACCAAAAGTCACCGAGAGAGATTTAGTGTTCTCACTGCAAAAACTGTATCAAGTAATTAGCTCAATCTATTCATTGCACATATATATACATATTTCAAAATGTGTATACTACAAGTACTCACAATTTTTGTCAACTAAGAAGTTTTCTTTTGGTACACACCTATAATTCCAGTACTCTAAGAGGCCAAAGCAGGGGGATTACAGGTTATAACTCAGACTAGACAACTAAGGAATATCCTGGGTTGAACCCCAGTAATTCAAAAGATAACAACAACAAAAACAAACAAAAAATGTATTTACCCTCTGATCCAGTAGCTTCTCTCCTAAAATATACACAGCCAACAATACAAAGCTACTTGTATGCGCAATGTATTATTTGTCACCACACATCTAAGAATCTACTTTAATAATTGACAGTAAGAGTAACTGAATTAACCCATACATTCACAATGAAGAACTATGCAACTGAGAAAAAAATTAGGACAATTGCTATGATTATTTAAGAATACATACTGGTAAGTGAAAAAAAGCCAAGTGTAAAAGTAATTTCAGTATGCAATCTCCTGTGTGTGTAAGAAGAGAAAATAAAAAACACACAAAGAACAAACCAGAAACCCATTAGCTCATTTACCTATAAGGAAGAAGAGAACCAGGGAGGCTACTTCTCAGTATATTTTTTACATAGTTTTGACCATACAGTTAGTGTTCCACATATTCAGAAAACATGTAAACTGATGGTGGCCTGTTGAAGAACCACAGGAAACTACACTGGAGGAAATAGTGGCCAAATCAGGATAAATGTTAGCATCACATAAACAGAAACAGTAATAAACTATAACTCACAGAATAAAATCATGAGTCCATGCTGGTTGTAAAAAATGGAGAAGGAAAACAATTACTTATGCTAGAATATCAATAAATAAATATATAAAAGTTGATGAAGGCAGACAATCACTTTCTGCAATCATAACATAAAAATGGACCAAGGCAAGGATCATCAATGGATGATGAAGGGTGGGCAATTGATAGGAATGTATTTTTACACAAATTACTTATTAACTAGGAAAAGAAAAATAGTAAAGCCGTATGGTAGAGAAAACAGTAAACTTTATTAACAGTGTAAAACTAACATCACTAATAAGAAACAGGTATCTTCTCCGGTTGTGATAACCAGAGCAGATATAATACATAACAAAAATGCATACTCTGAATCTAATTATGAGAAAACAAACCCAAATTAAAACCCTTAAAATACTTGGCTTATACACTGTAAAGATGTCAGTGTCATGAAAGATAAAAAAAAATATACCTAATAAAAGATATCAAGCCTAAGCAACTTAGTGAGACTCTACCCCAAAATAAAAATATAAAGGTCCAGCACTCTGGAGGCTGAGGCAAGAGAATCACAAGTTCAAGCTCAGCCTGGGCAACTCAGTGACTTAGCAAAACCTGCCTCAAAATAAAACAATCAGAAAAAAAGATCTGGGGATGTTGGGGACACAGTTCAGTGCCGAGGCCATGGGTTAAATCCTCAGTACCATCACCACCAAAAAAAAAAAAAAAAGGTGACTAAGAGACATGACAAAATACAATGTGCAGGGCTGGGGATTTAGCTCAGTGGTTCCAGCGCCTGCCTTGCAAGCGCAAGGGCCCAAGTTCAATCCCCAGTAACAAAAACAAAACACAACAAAAAATACAATGCAAACTCTAGGGGATTTGATCTTACACAGGATGGAAAAAAAACTATGAAAGACATTAGAAGAGCAGGGCATAGTGGAGCACACCTGGAATCCAAGCACTTGCAAGGCTGAGGCAGGAGGATTGCCACAAGTTCAAGACCAACCTCAGCTACACAGTGAGTCAGCCTGAACTACACAGCAAGACCACGTCACAAAAAAAAGATACTATACGGACAATGGATGAAATGGAAACAGGTAGTAGGTAAAAGTGTATCAATAATATATTTCCTAAACTCAGTAATTACATTTTGACTATGTTAGTGTCTTCTTTCTCAGAAACACAAACTAGGAAAGGAAACTGATATAGTCAACCTACTCTCAAATGGTTCAGAAAAAAAAATGGAAATAATAGTAAATATGGAGATTATTAAAAGTAGTAAAATGGTGAGAAATCAGAAAAAAGGATATATAAGAGTTTTCCAAATTCTCCTTTCCACTTTTCTCTAAATTTGAAATTATTTCAAAGTAAGGTTGAAGTGGCTTCTGATACCAATGTAATGCATGTCACTCAATGTCCAGTCACACCCTGTCAAAGACTTGCTTTGTAGTCAGGTGTGGTGGTGCACCAACTATCTGAGCACCCAGCATGCTGGGCGTCTTTGGCAAGAGGATGAAAGCGCGAGCACACCCTGAGCACTCAGCAACTCCATGAAAAGCTATCTCACACACACAAACAAGCTAAGGACATAGCTCAGTGCAAAGGCCTGATACTGCAAAACAAACACAACCAAACTTACTTTGCTTTATCCAAAAACACAAATGAAGTAACAGATAACCTGTTCACATGAATTACTTTCACATGATTATAGGCACGCACCACCATTTTTTTCTGATAAGTAACTTGGAAACCACCCTTTCTTATGTACCTAGTATCAATATCAGCTGCCTGGATTGTGTTAAAAAGCAATTCCGCAACACCAACTCCTTCGACATTGATCAAGTGAGGCTGAAATAAAGCTTCTGGTGCTTCGAATCTCTCTCCCCCAACTTTAATAATTCGTCCATCTGGGAGCTAGAAATGAAGAATAATCATGTACTAGTCAGTAAAAACCATTAAAATTCTCGGTGTTCTTGAAACATTTTAGCACGTTTGTTCTACAGCAAAAAAATAAAAAATAAAAATAAAAATCATGCAGCTGCATGGCAAACTCAGTGTCCTGAGTTCAATTCCCAGTACCGGGAATTTTAAGAAAGGTATTCAAATAACTTACTACCATTGAGTTCTATTCTGTTTATAGTGGAATCATCATTGCATATGTCAAGACATTCTGTGTCTACGCAGCACAGCACCAACAGGCAGCACCGACCAACCACTAGATTCTAATTATTACTCGTATGTGTTACTGCTGCTTGTTTTATAATTTCAAAATATTTGTGATTTTATGGATGTGTCTGTGTAGATACAATAAACATTTTTAATAATTTTCTAAAATAAATTCCTGAGCTTCATTTATAAAAAGTGAAAAAAAATTTTTCACCAAATTGTTCTATGAAGCTATTATTTTGCCATCAAAATATTTAATATGTGCTGATCTTGTCTAATTCAATTCAAAAGGTATTTATGATCAAAAAACTTTAAGAAATGCTGTTCTAAGACACAGTTATATACCTCAGGTCTGCCTCCAAACTCAATAAGCAGCCCAGCGGGCCTTGAACGTGCAAACTTCCTGTCCTGTAGATGAGACTATAGACATGCAACACCATGCCCAGAGCTAGAATATTTTTTATTAGGACATTTTGTTATATTTTATGTGGTCCTAATACATTTTAAATAATCGATAAACATAATTATAATTTAAGTCAGTAAGATTTAAACAGCAGGTTCAACATCACAATATGACCCATCCAGAAAATCTTTCAATCACATTGTGGTTTATTTAAAGGAGAAATATTAAGTAGAAACAACTCTTAAACTCCCTGTCAGAATTCACTAGACTGACAAGTAATGAACACATTCACATATGCTGGCATTTGATACACCTTCTTTTTTTCTTTCTGTTTTCTTTTCTTTTTTTTTTTTTTTTCTGGCACCAGGAATTGAATTCAGAACTTTGCACCTGCCAGACAGGAACAGTGCCACTGAGCTACATTCCCAGCCCATTTGATACATTTCTATGTAAGCTACATGGATGTTTTTATATGAACATTTCTAATAGCACATTAATTTATAAATATAATACTCTGTAATATTTATAATTTTATATTTCCAGTATGACAAAGTACACAAAAGCATGTTCCTTGAAAGACTCCACACTTGCTGAAATTGTTTACTGATACACATATGGAATCACATTTTTCAAAACTTCAAGAATTTCTTTTTCATAAATTGTACGGAGTTTCTTTTTTTGGGGAGTACCAGGGATCGAACTCAGGTCCTTGTGCTTGTGATGCAGGCGGCAGAATCACTGAGCTAAATCCCTGGCCCTGTACTGAGTTTCTTAATTCTCACCATTTCTCGTATTTATCTACCCATGAGTTTGATCCTGGGTATCAACCTCGCCCCCAAGCAAACAAACAAACAAACAGAAATATATAATTTGTCTACCCTTATCTTCACTCACTCATCACTATTTTACATTTGTACAAATTTATGTATTGCTTGGGAGAGAATAAATAACATGTTTTACACCTTTAGTTCTCTCATTGTCTGCCTTGTGCTCTTTTTCCAAATAAGTAAGGCAGGAAAATTGGAAAATTAGAAAGCTAGAGGGAAGCTGTCAAGAAGGCTTTAGGGAGGACAGTCCAGGGAAAATGGGAAATCATCAAGCTACAAAATAGGTTTTATTGTGTATTTGCATTGATAACTTTAAAGAAATCGCCATTACCTGAAAAATGATTACATATTTGGGGCTGAGGATATAGTTCTATGGTAGAACACTTCCCTAGCATGCCTGCAAACTTGGATTCCTATCACCACCCAAAAATAAATAAAAACAGAAAAAAATTTAAATTATTATTTTGCACATATTTGTGAATATGTAAAATTAACATGGATCATATGATTTAAGAATACTGTAATCCCAGGATTCAGGAGGCTGAGGCAGGAGGAGTACTGTGAGTTCAAGGACAGCCATGCTGGGCTACACTATGAGTTCAAGGACAGCCTTGAGCAAGACCCTGCCTCAAACAACAAAACAAAACGAACACCCCAAAACCTTGCTTTTATTATCTATTATTCTTTCCATTTTAGTAATAATTAAACAAGTTTCAGTTACAATTTCAAGTTAACATTTGTTTTGAATATCTCATTAAGAAAATATTAAGTCAGGCACCAGGGATTTAGCTCAGTGGTTCCGCCACACAAGGACCAGAGTTTAATCCCTGGTACCAAAAAAAAAAAAGTCAGGAAAGGCTACCACCTACTGAATTAGTAAAGCAATACTCTGGCAGGACTACTTCCCAAAGTATGTTTCTTAAATCACTAGGTCCATTTCTGAAAAGTTCTGTGATGTACTAAGTTTACTGGGGCCAGGGATGTAACTCAGCATCACCATGCCTGCCTGGCCAAGTGCAAGGTCCTGAGTTTGATTCCCCGTACCAAAAAACAAAACAAAAGAAAAAAGCTTACTGTAATCTCACAGTTGAGTACATTTTAGCATATCAAAGGGCCTGAGAAGTCCTGCAGTCAAATGAAATTAAACATCTTCCTAATTTATTTGACAATTGTAACTCTTTAATTTAGTGAAACTCTTATTAACATGTCAGGGAAATACCATTCTGTAAAATATAAGTAGAGAAATGTTATCCCAGATTCTAGAATCTCAAAATAATATATCCAATTATATCTTAAGGCAAAAAGTAATTAATTTATGATTCTTGCCTTAATTTATATAGTTCTCAAAATAATTAAATAATATAATCTTAATATATTTAAAAGTCACACATAAAACATAACAATCCGAAATAAAAAAAATGATTCCAGAGGCCAGAGATTTAGCTCAGTAGTACAGTGTTTGCCTAGCATACACAAGGCCCTGGGTTCAACCCATAGACCCAAAAAAACAAAACAGTGATTCCAAGAAAACCTTAAACTGACAACAATAATAACAGATGTCCTTTTATTTGGTACTGGGGATCGAACTCAGGACCTTGTGACTGCCAGGCAGTCACGATGATGCTGAGCTACATACATTCCCAACCCCTAAATGTCCATGTCTACCATGTCCCCAACAGCTCAAACCACCAGTGGTACATGCATGACTGTCTAATCAGGCACCTTGTACCACTAGGGGTAAAAGTGGTACAGTCATTCATGGGACAGTTATGCATGTATCACAGGCAGTTTAGGACACCTGGCAGTGAGACATACAAATCACAGCCCTGTCGTGAATGTGTTGAACCAAAGATATATAATGTGCACTGGATATACTTACTGTATAAGATTCAACTAATACTGTGGTTTCTAAGGCCAGTTTCTGTTCTTGTTCAATATTGTATCCCACATAACACAGCTTCTCTTTAATCATTCGAACTGTTTCAAAATCAGCAGAATGGTTGAAGGCGTATCCTCGCAACAAAAGCAGCTAGTATAAAAAGATAGTAGATAAGTTCATAATAGACTGGACTGAGTTCCACTCTGCAAAAGCTATTAATGCTTATTAAACACGTCCCATCCATAACAAATACAATAGGTAGTGAGTGTATCCTCAGATCCTGCTGAGTATTTCAGAAGTGGGGATTTTACTTGCCAAAATAGGATTTGTATTTCAGTATTATAGCCTAAGAGGATTAACAGTTCATGAACAATAAATGCAGCAAATAAACAAGAAAAAAGCCAGTTCTTAAGAGTATTGTTTGCATACTAATGTTCAGATGGCATTGATAAATAATGAAAAGTATACTAACGAACAAATATTGTGTTAGTACTAGACATCTGTAGCCTGCTATTTGCTCCCTCAATCAATGCCATGTTTTGTTTGTTTTTGAGACAGGATCTCACTTTGTAGTTCAGGCTGGCCCTGATCTCACTATGTAGTCCAGGTGGGCCTCGAACTCTTGATGATCCTCTTTCCTCTACCTCCTGAGTGCTAGATTATAGGCATGAGTCAGCATGCCCTGCAATGCTGTACTAAGCATTATGAAATACCCACAGGTCTTACAAAGTTCTATCTCTGGCTTTTTGCACAGTGTCTGGCACATATTGGAAAGGCAAAAGAATTTATTAAACAACCGAATTAAAGAACTGTTGGGATACTTGAAGGAACAGTCTCTATTCTTTATCTCTTCCTCCCTTTCCTCTTTTTCTCTCTTCCTCCCTTTCTATCTATTCTCATTTTGGGGGGGAGGTACCAGGGATCAAATTCAGGACCTTGTGCTTGGGAGGCAGGCACAGTGCCACTGAGCTAAATGCCTGGCCCTTCTATTCTCTAGAGATAGGGATTATCCTGCCTTAGCTTTTTGAGGTATCCAGAAACTACAAGCTTATGCTATCATGTCCAGCTCTTTTATTTCTTAAATGATAGAAAATGTTATTTTAAAACCAACTCTGCTGAGAGAAAAATGGCATAATAATCATCATGAACAAAAATGGGCCTTTTGTTAGAAAGGAAAAAGAAAAGAAAGAAATCCCTAATGTCTGTGCTCTCCGCAGAAACTCTGTTGGTTACCTCAGACAGAATTTTGGTCTAGAATGGGAGTACTATACTGTAATTCTCACTTATCTCCCTACATGATCAGACTCACCCTAAACAAGACCAAGAAACCTAAAGAGAAGGTGAAGACCTAATGCAACCCATCTGAACCCACATTTCTCAACAGCAGCAAATAAGGGACACTCACTTGCATCCCAAAGATCGTGTGTGGAAATCTACAAAAGCCAGTTTCCCTGCAATTTTCCTCTCACTCACCTTGATGAGATATCTGGTGATGTCCCTGCCAGCAATATCCAGTCTCCTGGTAAGATGAGGGAGAGAAAAGCCTTCATACACCGGGCAAATGTGAGTTACGCCATCTCCAGAGTCCACCACTACACCAGTCAATAAACCTACACGAGAACCAAAGCCAAATCAGAAAATCTAAAGCTGGTAAATTTCCAATCTACTGTAAGAGCAAACCTAGAAATTTTTTTTTTTTTTTTGGCACTAGGGATCAAATTCAAGGCCTTGTGCTTGCCAGGCAGGTGTTGCACCACTGACCTACATTCCTGATGCCCTACTTTCTTATTATTTACTTATTTTGCAATTCATTTCTAATGCACAAATATTGAAGTATAATACACAGACATTACAGTTCTCTTAAGTGTCACCTGTGAGACTTTTAGGTTGAGTTGCTTTTCCTACGTTGCTTCCTAGGAGATGAAAAGACCTAGGGCTGAAAACCAGTACAATATTTTTTTCTTCTTTCCAATTTAATTTTGATCACAGCCTGACTTAAAGTGAGGTTTTCTAAAATTCCATGTATCACTTTTACAAAAACTGAAAAGTTTTACACAGTTACAAGTTAAATCTGCTGAAATTATCTACTTCTTGATTTTTTTTTTTTTTTTTAATTTGGTACCAGGGATTGAACTCAGGACCTTGTGCTTGCAAGGCAGGCACAATGACACTGAGCTAAATCCCCAGCCCTCTAGTTATTCATTTCTGTCACATAGGGTATTAAAACTCTGTGCTGTTTTAGAAAAAATGTCTACTGATACTAGAAATAAAAAAATTAGAGAAGAGTTAATCGTGTCTGGCCCAAGTATGACTTCAACTATTCACCCTAAAGCAGAAAAACCTGGAGTGATGGCACACATCTGTGATCTCAGCAATCAGGAAGCAGAACTGAAGCAGGACTGCTGTGAGTTTAAGGCCAACCTGAACTGCTTGTGAGACCATGTCTCAAATAAATAAATAAATAGCCAGGGATTTAGCTCAGTGGCACTATACCTGCGTTGCCAGAGCAAGGTTCAATCCTCAGTACCCAAAACAAAACCCCTCCACACACACACACACACTCTCTCTCTCTCTCTCTCTCTCTCTCTCTCTCTCTCTCTCTCACACACACACACACACACACACACACACACACACACACACACAGACAAAACCCCAAATAAAACAAAACCCTACACAAACTCTACAACAAAAGAACAGCAAAGAAGCTGCCTTGTTTCCTGTGTATGCTACTAAAAATGCAGAAATGCCTGCAAAAAGTCAATGTTCCGCTGCTATCAAGAAGTCAAGCAATAATAAATGTTGGCGGGGTTGTGGGGAGAAAGGAATCCTTCTCCATTGTTGGTGGGAGTGCAGACTGGTGCAAACACTATGGAAATCAATATGGAGATACCTCAAAGAGCTGGGACTAGAGGTTCCATTTGACCCAGCCATCCCTCTGCTGGGTATCTTTCCAAAAGAATTAAAAGAATCATACCACAGAGATATATACACACCTATGTTTATAGCGGCACAGTTTGTAATAGCTAAAACTTGGAAACAGCCCATTTGCCCATCAGTTGGAAACTGGATAAAGATGCGGTTTTTCTATAAGATGGAATACTACTCAGCCATAAAGAATGAGAAATTAGATTCATTCATAGGAAAATGGATACATATTGAGGATATACTCCTAAGTGAAATAAATAAGTCACACATGTGTAAATACTGAATAGTTTCTCTGGTGTGAAAAACTGTAATAGTACATAAGATCCTAATGATATAAATGACCATGTGAAATAGGAAGAAAAGGGCTAAAGGTATAGGTAAAATGGGAAGGGTAGGGGAAAGAATAATAAGGGAAAATAAAAAAATATGAGAAAATGAAAAAATGGAAATAAAGTGTTTATAAATGGGGAGGGGAGGAGGGGGTGAAGGGAGGGCATGGACAAGGGGAAAAAAATGAGAACCAAGACCTGTCATGTAAAGGTACAAGATCCCAATAATGAACGTAATTGTACTGTATGCCTTAAATGTACCAATAAACTCAATAATAATTAAAAAAAGTCAGTGTTCCACTTTTTGCATCAGGGTTAATTCAAGGAAAAAACAAACTTTTCCAAAGTTAAAATTTTTAATGGTACCGGGGATTGAACTTGGGCCCTTGCACTTGCAAGGCAGGTGGCGGTTTCACTGAGCCAAATGCCTATCCCTAAACTTAGATTTTTCATTTTTTTTAAACTTACATTTTTAATAGAAAAAATTTAACTAGAATATGCATCATCTATAACTGAACTATTATTTCATTATTCTCTCATCCCTAAATATGCCATTTCCTTTTTCTATTAATAAAAATGTACATACTGTAGTACCTAATGTCTTTAAATTCATTCAGATATCCATTTTAATTGATATGTTTTTCCTTTCCACTGCAATAAAAATAAGGAATCTATATCACAATTAATTCAGACTCACCAACTTAAAATAAGGCTTTACATTTTGTTTTCCAAACACCTCTCCTATTAGGCCATCTACTGGCCTTTCCCTGAACACATCTGATTCACTTTCAGGGCCACTCTTTGTCATTGGATTTCCCCTCCCATTTTTTTTTTTTTGTTTTTTTTGGGATCAGGGATCAAACTCAGGATCTTGCACTTGCAAGGCACGTGGCAGAACCACTGAGCTTCATTTCTAATTTCTCTAAGCACTCTCACCTCCAGCTCAGTTTTCCCAATTTCACTTATTCCTTCTTCAATTCCATATGTTACAGACAGCTAAACATGTGTTCCTAAATCACTGTTAATTCTTTTATTCTACCTTTTACAGCTTTCAATGTCTTTTTTTTTTTTTTTTTTTTTTTTGGTATCGGGGATCAGGCCACCGAACCGCTGAGCTAAATCCCCAGCCCTCAATGTCTTTTTTTTTTTAATTGCCAGCACTAGCCATCATGTCTGGAAGGAGATTTACCGTGGCTTAGAGCTGATTTTATTAACATAATTAGACTATTATTTCTAAAAATTAAGGACTCAACAATTAAACAAAGACAGTTACCTATAAGCAATTAAGAAAGGATATCTTATTAGACAGAATAAATTCATAAATATTGCTAATTGCTAGGAAAATCTGTTACTGTCAGTTTTAGTAAGACACAATTTAAAAATTCTTTTCAATAGATCGTCTCATCGTTAAGCCCTTTGAGCAGGAACTCTCATTACATGTTTCCAACTCAGACTCAAAATTTTTAATGTGTTCTTCCTAAATATCATGTATAAAATAAATTCTGAAACCAGGCATGGTGGCCAGCTACTTGGGAGGCTAAGGAAGGAGGACCACAAGTTCATGACCAGCTTGGACAACTTACTGAGACCCTGTCTGATAACAATTAAGGACTGCGGATGTAGCTCAGTACTTCCGGGTTTCAATTCCCAGTATGGAGAAAAAAAAAAATCTCAAAGTTTAAAAAAATGAGATAGGGGCCGGGAACTTATCTCAGTGGGTTCTGCTGCCTGCTTTGCAAGCTCAAGGTCCCAAGTTCGATCTCTGGTACCAAAAAAAAACCAAAAAACACAAAACCAGAGATAAACTTACCTAGATGCAAAAAGTATAAGCACTCCTTCTCACCTTGTAAAATAACTGAGTTTTGCTTCTTCCTTCAAAAGAAAAATTACAGCTGGACGATAATCATTTTTTTCTTTTCATTTTTTGCAGGACTATGGGTTGAGCCTAGGGACCTTACATACTAAGCAAGTGGTCTACCACTGAGCTATATTCCCAGCCCTTTTTATTCTTTGCTTTTCTTTGCTTTTTAGAGACATGCAGCCCAAGCCTGTCTCAAACTCATGATCCTCCTGCCTAAGCCTCCCAAAAGTAGCTGAAATTACATGTATACTATCCTGCCCAGCTGGATTATGATCACTTTTAAGGCCGCAGAGATTTCTTACTGTTACATCCTCTGTACAAAAGAGAATATAAGCTCCATATTACACTTAGTGAATGAATAAATGTTTTTAATTCCCAGACAAATGTGGTGGCACATGCCTGTAATTCCAGTACTCAGGAGGCTGAGGTGGGAGGATCACTGCTGAGTTTGAGGCCAGCCTGTGCTATACAGTGAGTTCAAGGACAGTTTGGACTATACAGCAAGACTGTCTCAAAAAAAAAGATTTTTATACTAATCTATACATAGAATCAGCTCATCATAAAATTAAGTTCTTAAAGTTAAAAAAGAACCAGCCAATGACAAAAGCTTAGGCATTACCTCCTTCAGAAAGGTCCTCTGACATGCTGAATCAAATTATGTTTCTGGGGCTAGGGATTTAGCACAATGGTTCTGCTGCCTACCTCACAAGTGCAAGGTTCCTGAGTTCAATATCCAGTATCAAAAAAAAAAATCTCAGTAAGATCCTGTTTAACTTAGTAGACTTAAAATACAAACAACTTGGGCCGGGGATTTAGCTCAGTATTTCTGCCACCTGCACCACAAGCTCAAGGTCCTGAGTTCGATCCCTGGTGCCAAAAAAAAAAAAAAACCCAAACAACTCTTCCCCATCATGGCCAACATCTTATTTGCAGCAGACAAGGAGGCCGCTGCTAAAGGCAGCACCAAGAGAACACAGTACAGTAGATCCTTTCCTTAAACTCCCCTCAAAAAACGAGGAATGCACTCCCAAATGTCTATCTTCTCCCTTGTATTTAATCTATTATCTACTTAACAAGCAGATTTTATGCTAACCTTTTTTGGATCTTTTTTAAGCTAAAGCCAATTCTGAACATAAATTCCTTGTTTATTCTCTACTGAATAAAAATTAAATAGCTTAAAAGAAGGAATAGCCTATATTTTATTTATTTATTTATTTGGTACC